TGACGAGCATCGATCGCGTCTTCGTGTCGGGCCCCGCCCACGCCATGCTCAATGCAGCAGTGCTGTTGCGCCCGCTGCACGACGCTGCAGACCTCTCGGACTAGCAGCTCAGTGATCACGCCCTGCTGGCCCTGCAGATTGCCCCAAGGCATCCGCGTCAGAGCGACGAGATGCCGCTGCCTGCCTTGCTCTTCGAGCGCGCCAGGTACCCGCACCACTATGACAACATGATCGGGCACAGCACTTTCATGCTGCTGGGCCGCTCCCCCGAGGCGGCGTGGCGAGGTGCCAAACATTGCATGCGGCTGGCGGCGCTGGCGGTGCGGGACGAGCTCCTGCGGTCCAACCTGGACCCCGAAAAGGCGACGTACCACATCTCGGAGGCCAAATTCATGGCCATGAAGAGCGTGGCCCGCTCGATCTGGCGGCAGGATGCGGCGTTGGCCTCGCGGCTGATCACCGCGACGTCCGTCGGCAGGAACCATCTCGAGGTCGTCGACGAGGAGGTGCGGCTCCGCGACTCGGTTGCCTTCGAGAGGGAGTTCAACGATACCGCGTCCACCACGCTGGAGCGGAGGAAGGCGGCTGCCGCCCGCCTGGCCCGCCAGGCCCCCGCGCGCGAGGGCCCTAGGTGGAAGCGGATTGAGAGGGCAGCGGAGCGTCAGGCTCTGCTCTGGGTGCCCTGGCGGCGCCGCATGAAGCTTTCGGGAATCAAGATTTCGTCCCCGGCGGCTTCGGGCCCTGCCGAGGCCCCTCACGAGGCCCGCGTCGTCTCTGACGCTGCTGGCATGACCCGTGAGGTCAGGGAGTTCTGGGGTCCAGTTTTCGCCTCTCAATCCGCCGACGATGCTGGGATCGACGCGTTCCTGGACTCGCACTCGCCGGCTGCGCCCCCGGCGGACCCCCCGATGCCGAGCCTGGAGGCGCTGGGCAGAGCGGCGGCGCGGGCTTCCCACAGCGCGCCTGGCCCAGACAGGATCCTTTACGCGGCGTGGAGGCGCAGCCGTGGCGCCACCGTCGTTCTCTTCAACCTGATGTCCCACATGTTCATGACCGGAGTCGCCCCGCACGATTTCAACTACAGCATCTTCGTGACGGTTCCGAAGGGCTCGGGGCCCGAGGGCCAGATCGACTCCTGCGTGCGCGAGGCGGGCAACTTGAGGCCTCTCTCCTTGAAGAATACTGACGCCAAGCTGATCGCCAGCTGCGCGGACAAGATACTGCAGCGGCACGTGGCGACCCTGACCCACGAGGATCCAGAAGGGATTCGCGCCAGGCCGGAACTTTGTGGACCACATCCCGACCATGGACGCCGAGTGCCGACGCGCGGGCCTGGCCCCTTCGGCGCTCTCGCGGTGGCCCACCTTCGCCTCCTTCGACTTCAAGGCGGCATTCCCGTCGCTCTTCCAGCGATGGATTGAACGCTGCCTCCCGCGCTACGGGATCCCACGCGGCTACATCAACATCATCAGCGCCTTGTACATGAATTGCGTTGCGCTGGCCACGTGCTGCGGGCCGGCTGAGAGCGGTGCCTTCTGCTTCTTGTTCGCGCTTCTCGGCGGCGTGATGCAGGGCTGCCCCCTCAGCGGTACGCTCTGGTGCGTCTCCTTGGACCCGGTCGTGAGGGCCCTGCTGGTCGCGGTCGGCGACGAGGGTTTGCTGTCCGCCTGCGCGGACGACGTGGGCATGCTGCTGCTGCGGCTGGCGAGGATGGCCCAGGTGGCGGAGGTCTTCACCCTGGTGCAGAAGCTCGCGAAGCTCACACTGGCGGTCAAAAAGTGCGTCATGGTCCCCCTCTGGGCCGCCTCCGACGCGGCGCTGGCGCAGGCGCTGCGCGCGAGGCTGGCTGAGGTGCGGAGCGGCTGGGATTTCTTCCAGATTGACGGCAAGGCCAAGTTCCTCGGGGCCTTTATCGGGCCAGCAGTGTCCCTCGACTTGGTCTGGGAGCTGCCCTGCATGAAGTGGTGGCGCCGCAGCCACGCCATCGGCGCATCGGGCTCGCCCTCGAGCCTCTCGGTGCGGGCTTGCAACACCGCCAGCATCAGCTCCCTGTCGTACGTGGCGCAACTCTTCCCCATGCTCCCTGCGGCCCTCAGGCGCGAGCATCTGCTGCTGCACAAGGTCCTGCGCCTCCCGCCCTCCACTTCTCGCAAGGCGGACCTGCTGGCCCTGACGAACTGGCTGCAGTCTCCGGCGCCTGCAGCGCCCCAGGCGTATGCGCTGTCCGTCCGCTGGCGCGCGGCCACAGCCACGGTCACAGGATGGCGGGCGGCCCTGCAGAGGCTCGCCGCCGAGGCCGAAGAGCAATTCCCGGTGACGAGATGGCGGGCGGGCGACTTCTCCCCGCCTTTCTGGGCTCTTCCGCGCGCAATTGCGCAGGAATGCGCGAGCTTGGTGGCGGGGGAGGCGCAGTTGCAAGTTCCCGCGCGGCGGCTCCAGACAGCCATCGCCGCGGCGGAGGCGGAGAAGCGGACGGCTGCGATGATGATGCGGAAACCCAAGCTCCAGACGTGTTTCTGCCGCTCTCTCACTGCGTCGCTCTTCCCTGAGTCCTTGGTGACGACCCTGCGGAAGCGGCTCCGCGCCTGGGGCCTTGGCGCGCCTCCCGCCCTGGAGGCTCGCCGGTCCGCGCTGCGAGCCGTGCTGGTGCGGGCGCCGCCGTCGTGGCAATGGGCGGCTCTCAAAACGCTGGGAGGTGGGTGGACGACGGCTGGCCGCATACATATCATGACGCCCCGGCCCTGCCTGTTCGGCTGCGAGTGCGCGGCGGACGACATCAGGCACTACCTCGCGTGCAGGCGGCTATGGCACTGGGTGGCCCTGCCGCGCTCCTTCCTGCCGGGGCCGCTTGGCCGCCTCGGGCTTGGCAGTGCGGCCGAGCATGCGGGCGAATGGTCCCGGGGGACTGCCCTTCGGGGGGTCGTGCTGGCTTTCCACATCTACCACCTGCACAAGAAGTTCTTTGACAAGCACGGCCGTGTCGTCCCCTTCGACGCGGCTTCGGGGATCCGGCTCGCGGCCCTACGTCGACTCCGCGACCGCCGAGTGCCCGCTGCGGCGTCGGCGCAGTCGTCCTCGGCTGCGGCTGCCCCCCAGCCGCCTGCCCAGCGCGACGCGCCGCCCAGACCCGGCGGCTCTGGCAGCGGCCCCAGCGTGCACAAGACAAAAACGTTACCTCTGGAAGGCGCCCTGGGCGCGGGTGCGGAGGGCGCCCTGGAGCGCTCGCAGGAGGCCCAAAGGGGCCTTGACAGCGGCCGTGGCGGCCCCGCCGGCGCGCTGGCACCATCGACTGCGACTTCACCGGCGGCGGGCCTGAGGGCTCGGTCGCGTGCGGCGCGCCCCTCCGCGGCCGTCGCCTGAGCTTGTGGACGCGCCCCCTCGGCTGCGTGCACTCCTCCTCCTCCTCCTCCTCCTCCTTCGCCTCCTCCTTCCCTCCTCCTCCTCCTCCTCCTTCTCCTCCTCTCCTTCTCGCTCTTCCTCCTCCTCCTCCTCCTCCCCCTCCTCCTCCAACTCCTCCCCTTCATCCTCCTCCTCCTCCTCCTCTTCCCCCCCTCCCTTCTCCCCTCCTCCCTCCCCCCCGTAGCGCAACGCTCCCCCACACCCCCCTGCGTCCACGGCACTGCCGCAGTGCGTCCAAGTGGCTCAAGCCTTCACGCCCCAAGGAGCACAAAGTCCCCACCGCCCAAGGTCAGCACCTCAAGATGCTGATCGCAAGCATACTGCTCACCGACATACCGAAACGTCCCGATCGTGTCGGTAGCATTCGGTTTGTAGTTCGCCTCTGTAGTGGACACCAACGTATTGCTAGTCCCAATCGAGCCGGATACAGTCGTACTGCCGTTCGTACTCGTACGGCTCACTGGCGTATTGCTAGTCCCAATCGTGCCGGATAAGTTTGAATTGCCGTTCGCACTCACTCGCATTGCCCACCGACGTATTGCTAGTCCGAGTCGTATTGGTAAGACCCGTGCGCGCCGACGAATTTATAGTCCCAAATGTGTCGGAGGATTTCGTTTTGCCGCTCGCACTCGTACTGATAACCGAAGTGTTGCTAGCCTCAGTCGGGCCAGTAACACTCGTGCTGCTGTTCGCAACCGTATTGTCGGACGACGTCTTGCAAATCTTAGCCGCGCTGAGGGAAAGAGGGAGGAGGAGGAGGAGGAGGAGGAGGAGGAGGAGGAGGAGGAGGAGGAGGAGAATTAGGAGGAAGATGAGAAGAGGCATGCCTCCCAGGTTTGTTCTCGGAGCCTCGTGGAGGCGTCTTGGAGCCATGTTGGGGCCTTCCTGGGAGCAGTTTGGTACACTCTTGGGGCCTTTGGGGGGGGGGGGGGGAGATCTGTGGGCCCTCTGGGTGCTCTTGGGGCGCTTCTCTGGGCCTCCTGCGCGCCTCGCGCGGTCTTGGGGCCCGTCTGGGCTTGTCGGTGGGCTCTCTTGAGCCACCTTTAAAACGACACGAAGATCGGGACAAAATCGGATCGGGATAACTGGAAATCTCTGAGAATCGGCGGGTTTGGAGGATGTATTGGGCGCCGCGGCCGCTCCAGAGCGTTCCGGAACGCTCTGAGAGCGCTCCGGAACGCTCTGGAGCGATTTATCCCGATCCTAGCCCTGTTTTAACCTTCGGGTCACCGGAGCTAAGATGCCCACCGGAAGCACAAAGGCGAGAGGGCAACACCTATATGTCCCATACATGTACACAGTACGTCCACGCGCTTGAAGGATGTGTGCATGTGTATATACGTGTATGCATGTATGTACGCATGTATATATGTACGTACGCATGCATGTTTACACAAGCGTATCATATGTATACACATATATATATGTAGAGAGAGAGATTCGAGCCACGAGGGATATATACATATATACATATATATATATATATACATGTATATATATATGTATCCATTCATCCTCTACCACATTCGGGCAACACCCCGCGAGATCTTTTGGAGGGCCATCTCGCCGACACACACACACACACACACCCAAGCCCTCCCCAGAAAGCCCTTACACCGGCCAAGAACATCCAAAGGCGCCACCAAGAAGTTTAAATCCGTAGCCATTTTGCTCAAGTTCTGTTTCGGCTGAGGGCCACCGGCTCGCACTTTCCAGCAGACGCAGCAGACGTCAGGACGGCGGGCGCGATGGTCGCCCTGCTTTGTCTGCGAGCGGCGGCTCTTGCCTCCGTGGCAGCAGCGAGCTCGCTCCGTGGTGAGGGGCAGGTTTCCTCGAATGGCAGCAGCATGGCCCTGGACATCTCCTGCGCGGCGGGCATGCTGGCGTTCGTGGCGCTTGGCCTGTACGTGACCTACGCGAGCGGCGTGTGCAACAGGGGTGCAGCCGCGCGCGGAGGGGCCGGCCCCGCGGAGGGCGTACCCAAGGCGAGCCCGACGGTGTTGGGGATGCCCCTCGGGCGGGAGTTGTTCGACAAGTTGTTTTTGCCGGCGGCGGTCGCAGACGAGCCCATGTGCGTCGTCTGCTTGATGCCCGTGGGGCGCTCCGAGCCGTGTCGCCGCCTGGGCTGCGGGCATATGTTTCATCCCGACTGCATCGATGGCTGGTGGCTGCAGACGGACGATGCCACGCTCAAGTGCCCAGTCTGCAGGCGGGCTCAGGTTCCACCCGCAACTCCGTGTCAGCATGTGAGCTCCGAGGAGGCGAGGCAACCTGTGACTGGCAGCACAGACTCACACGCTTAAATGTCGGATTTGCTCAGCATCGCGCGGCGCCTTCGTGGACAGGCATGCCGCGTAGTCCGGCATGCCGTGTACTATACCACGTTCTGATTGATGGATTCGGCGCGTTTTTTTTTGTGTGTGTGTGTGTGTGTGGGGGTGGGTGTGAGTGCGCGTGTCCCTGTGTCTGTGTGTCGTCCTTTCTTCCTCTCGGCCGTCCCTCCCCCCCTCCTTTGCCCGCCGGCCAATTCGCTCGTTAGTGCCCCTTTCGAGCTTCTCGCTGGAGCGGGGTTCGCCGCCTCGCCGCTGACGGAAAAAGTGGGTGTGTGAGTGTGTCAGTGTGTGTCAGAGTTTTGCTCGTTTGTGTGTGGTTGAGCGTGTGCCTGTTCTCGTATGTGAGCTGGGCCCGCCACCGCGCCCACTTCCGCTATCGGCCGCTGGCCGGATTTGAAGCCTTCCCGTTCTAGTTTCAAGCTCGGACAAGCAGGACAGCATGTCTGCCACCCACACTGCAGTTTACGAAGGATGGTTAGGCAATGAGGAGGAGCCCGCCAAGACACGAGAGCGGACTCTTTGTCCAGTTGGACAATGATTTGGTTCGGTACAGCTGCCTATAAGAGCGGGAGAGGCCGCACGCTCCTCATGCTTTGGAGTTCGTCACGTTCCTTGGAGAGGGGCGGCCGCTGGCCCGACTTGCAGACCTTGCAGTTTGAACTTTTTGGCCCTGCGCACCTAAGCGGGATGTGATGGATGTTTGAATGCATTCTGGGTATGGTGCGGCAGCCTGTTAGTCAATTGCGTAGTTCTGTGCCTCTTCGGTTAGATAGGGCGCGCTCGTCAGGTCCCTGGGAGAGGGACAGTCGCTAGCAGGACTCGCATCCTTGCAGTTTGAATTCTGTGTTGCGCACACAAGCTGGAGGTTATGGATGTTTGTGCACCTGCTGAGCCTGATGCGGGAACTGGTTGGGCAAGAGTGGAGGGGTAATGCTCGGGCTCGTCAGACGTCGTCAGAGTCCTTGGAGACGGACGACGGTCGCTCGCCTAATTTGCAGTTTGAACTTTTTGGTTTAGCATACATGAGCAGGAGGTGGTGGATGTTTGGACACCTTCTGGGTATGGTGCGGAAGCTTGGTGGGCAATATTGGAGAGTCCGTCGATACACCCGAGTCGGCTTCTCAATAATTGAGTAATGTGCCTCTTTACTTTAGATCGGGCGCGCTCGCCATGTTCCTTGGAGAGGGGCGAGTCCAGATGGTCACCACTTGGTGAGGGGCGGTCTTTTTTAGCGCCTGGTTCGTTGTGTGGTCGGCCAGCGAACACCACAGGGGCAGCGTGAGTCGTGAAAGTGGTCCTTTCTTGGAGGAGCGGTCGGAAGGGGTGGGCATGGGGTGGGTGGGGGGGGGGCGGAGGGAGGCTCACCCAGCAGAGGTGTGCATGCGATGTGGCGCCCACTGCTCGCGCTGCTTGGGACACAGTTGAAGCCCTGCAGGCGCCCTGCAAGCAGCCAGCGGCGCGCGGCCCAGAGAGCCCAAGCGGAGGGAGGGAGGGGGAGGAGGAGAACAGGAGGAGGAGGAGGAGGAGGAGGAGAGGGAGGAGGAGGAGGAGGAGGAAGAGGAGGAGGGCGAGGAGGAGGAGGAGGAGGAGGAGGAGGAGGAGGAGGGAGGAGAGGAGGAGGAGGAGAAGGAGGAGGGAGGAGGAGGAGGAGGAGGAGGAGGGAGGAGGAGGAGGAGGGAAGAGGAGGAGGAGGAGGAGGAGGAGGAGGAGGAGGAGGGGGAGGCGGAGGAGGAGGAGGAGGAGGGAGGAGGATGAGGGACAGAGCGGGCGGCCGCAGGGAGTGTGATAAAAGCGAGGGCGACGCAGGGGGGACCCGTCCCGCACGCAGTGACGTTGGCACCCTCCCCCCTCTGGTGGTAGGGCGGGGGTGCGGACCGCCCCGCACCCCCACTGCCCCAACCCCTCGCCGCATGTGCTGCGCCAGCGGTGTGTGCCTGTTCTCGTATTTGAGCTGGACCCGCCACCGCGCCCACTTCCGCTATCGGCCGCTGGCCGGATTTGAAGCCTTCCCGTTCTAGTTTCAAGCTCGGACAAGCAGGACAGCATGTCTGCCACCCACACTGCAGTTTACGAAGGATGGTTAGGCAATGAGGAGGAGCCCGCCAAGACACGAGAGCGGACTCTTTGTCCAGTTGGACAATGATTTGGTTCGGTACAGCTGCCTTTGAGAGCGGGAGAGGCCGCACGCTCCTCATGCTTTGGAGTTCGTCACGTTCCTTGGAGAGGGGCGGCCGCTGGCCCGACTTGCAGACCTTGCAGTTTGAACTTTTTGGCCCTGCGCACCTAAGCGGGATGTGATGGATGTTTGAATGCATTCTGGGTATGGTGCGGCAGCCTGTTAGTCAATTGCGTAGTTCTGTGCCTCTTCGGTTAGATAGGGCGCGCTCGTCAGGTCCCTGGGAGAGGGACAGTCGCTAGCAGGACTCGCATCCTTGCAGTTTGAATTCTGTGTTGCGCACACAAGCTGGAGGTTATGGATGTTTGTGCACCTGCTGAGCCTGATGCGGGAACTGGTTGGGCAAGAGTGGAGGGGTAATGCTCGGGCTCGTCAGACGTCGTCAGAGTCCTTGGAGACGGACGACGGTCGCTCGCCTAATTTGCAGTTTGAACTTTTTGGTTTAGCATACATGAGCAGGAGGTGGTGGATGTTTGGACACCTTCTGGGTATGGTGCGGAAGCTTGGTGGGCAATATTGGAGAGTCCGTCGATACACCCGAGTCGGCTTCTCAATAATTGAGTGATGTGCCCCTTTACTTTAGATCGGGCGCGCTCGCCATGTTCCTTGGAGGGGGGCGAGTCCAGATGGTCACCCCTTGGTGAGGGGCGGTCTTTTTTAGCGCCTGGTTCGTTGTGTGGTCGGCCAGCGAACACCACAGGGGCAGCGTGAGTCGTGAGAGTGGTCCTTTCTTGGATGGAGGAGCGGTCGGAAGGGGTGGGCATGGGGTGGGGGGGGGGGGCGGAGGGAGGCTCACCCAGCAGAGGTGTGCATGCGATGTGGCGCCGACGTCCCCAGAGGCCCCCGAGAAGCCCCCAAGAGGGCCCCAAGACGACCCCCCAAAAGGGCCCCTCAGCGCAACGACGCCAGATCCCCGGTAGTTGCAGCAGGGATCTCAGCGCTCCCGCCTCTTCGGGCCTCCAGCGCGTCAGCGCTCCACGACCGCCCAAGAGGCTCCCAGGGTAGGCCCAGGACGGCTCGACATGCCCCCGAGTCTTCCGGGACGACCAGGATGGCCCCGAGACGGCCGACGGGCGCCCACGACGGCCTTAAGAGCCTCCAGTGCAGTGCGAGGACGTCGGAGAGCACGCAGGATGCCCTCACGCACGGCACGGCCGCCCACACGTCGCACCCGAGCCGACCCAAGAACAATGGAGGATGACGATTAATAAATGACCCGGGGTCGTGTTCACGCGGCGGCGCCCGGGATGACGATTAGAAAAAACCGGCCGCGGGCTGGAAAACTTTTTTTTTTTTAACCGTTCTCCTCCAGTCAGAAAGTTGTGCAGGAATAGCAGGAAAACACTATTTGTTTAATCGTTCTCTCCCATTCTTTTTAGTCATCGTCATCCCGCATTGCCCCAGGAAGCCCAGCGACTTCCCGTGCGCCAGCACGTGCCTACGCCCCGCTGGCCTCCCTCGCTGGCCCGCGAGGCCCCCGGCGCTGCCCACGGGGGGTCCGAACGCGCACGCACCCACGTGGCCGAAGTCGTTGAACGCAGAGCGTGAGTTACCTATACCCCGCCTTCGCTTCCAGGCAAAAACCAGGTCATACCACGGGCCTCCTCGTCAAGCGGCCCGACCAGCACAGGCCGTCGTTTGGCATCGTGTGGTATCTCTTGGAAGCGAGGGTGGTCCAAAGCGAGGTAGGTTTGTTTGCCCCCCTATGAACCAAACACACATACGTGGGGGCGCGTGCCAAGAAACCAGCTGGATTCTGCCAGGGTGCCCTGGGTTTCTTGGATTTCGATGGGCCCCTCAAAAAGATCTTGACGATGTTCGATCGACAAATTTGGATTCTCACTGAACAAATCGCGGACTTCAGGGTTGGGTTTCTTGCGTTGTTTTCTTGTGGCCGAGCCCCCACTGTAGGTGTCGCAGGTATCGGGGAAACGTAAGACTCGCGTAAGCCGGAACTCGGGTTTGCCGACGTTTTTTGACGAGCGCGTCCTGGATTTTGACGGTCCAGTTTCCGTGGGATGTTTGCAGCGGGAGTTCGCGTCAAATTTCTGATTCGGTCTCGTCATTTGTTTGATGGCCCTGTCAGGCCAACCTGAGTCCCCCGTACCCGAGTCTTACGTCTCCCCGAAGGTAGTTGGTGTGATGATTTGTTCGGGTTCCGCAGCCTCCAGGAGCCCAGCATCGCCCCACGACGCCACCGAACGGCCCAGTAGAAGCACAGCGCAGCCCAAGAGGAGAAGAAGACGCCCAGGAGGGCTCCAACAGAGGCCCCGTGGCTGGGAGGGGATGCACGCTGGGAGGAGGTCTTCCGAGGGAACCTGACACGGCCCAGGAAGGCTTTCACGGAGACCAGCACGCTCGCGCAGTGGGCACAACAGGCCAGCTGCAATAAGACATCCCGAGGCGGCCCCACGAGAGCCCGTGGAGTCTGGGATTGTTCAATCGTGGCCCTGGGAGGTTTTGAATGGGGGCCCAGCTATAGCCGCGATGGGTGGGGTGGGTTTTAAAGCGGTGGAAGAAACGGCAGGACTTTCCCGCGTAGGCGGAGGCAGAGGAGAAAGCAGGGAGGTGGAACAGCAACCAGAGCACCAGGAGGAGGAGGAGGAGGAGGAGAATCCCTCGTCTCTTCAATCTTGCTCCCCAGCCCCCCTGCCTCATCCCTCTCATGATTCCAGCTCAGAGGTGCCGTCTGCAGATGTGCTTCTCGGAAGCCGCTCCTGTCAGGGATGCTGTCTCGCAGCGACGCTCCCCGCGCATGCTTCGGACAGGGCCCCAGGAGGGGCAGCAAGGCCAATTGTTGCGACAGGGAGGAGGAGCAGGGGGAGGGGGAGGATAAGGACGAGGAGGACGAGGAGGAGGAAGAGGAGGAAGAGGAGGAGGAGGAGGAGGAGGAGGAGGAGGAGGAGGCGTCGCCCTCTCGCCCAGCGCACGGCTCCTCTTGCCCTTCCTGCTCCCGAGCTCCCCCGGGCCACCCCGTTCCCCGTGGGCGACGCACGGACTTCAGGCGGAGCGGACCCAGACATGATCGCTCCTCCCTCCTCCTCCTCCTTCTCCTCCTCCTCCTCCTCCTTGCCCCAATCGGTGGCGGGAGTTTCGGCCGCGCTTTCCGGTGAGCTTCTGACAGCTGGTTTCGGCGCGCATTTGGCGTGTCGTGGCCTCCCCGTTTGGAGTTGGGAGCGCTTGCTTTGCGCGTCGGACGGCGAGTCCGTTCTGAGAGTGTTCTGGAACGCTATACAATAGTTTTCGATGAGGACATGATCGCACGTAAAAAAATCAGGACGGGGGGTTTTGGGCGATTTTCAGCCTCGGGAGGCCCTCGCCGGGCCTCGGGACCGTCACACAACGACTCCGGATGAAGAGCCCGCCCCAGGGAACGGGTCGGGACTTCCGGGGACCCTGAAGAACTCGGAACGTCGCACGTCTGGGGAGTGAGCCTCTAAAAGCTGAGCGTGGAGGATTATGGCCTCTGGGGAGGTTCCCTGGGCGGCTCCGGGGACTCTTGGAGCCGGCCTGGGCCGGGGGCCTCCACACGGGGTGGTGACCGCTCCGTGTGGTGAGTCGGCCAGAATTCGGGGTCACCGCACGGTTTGGGGACTCGAGTCCCTCTCCGAGGATGTCTTGGGCGACAGGGGCCTCCAGGGTCCCAAGACCCAGACCCCCTCGGGCAATGAAAAAATTATCCCGGCAAAGCAACCTAACAGCGATGTGTAGGAGCATATCTGGAAGCATTCCCCTTACGATTCAGATGAGAATCCAGTTGTAGAATTCTGCTGTTCTCGCAGTCGTAGTCGCATTCGCGATGACAGTCGCAGTGGCAACGGCAGTCGCAGTCACAGCCGCAGCCTCAGCCTGCCTCAGCCTCAGCCTCAGCCTGCCTCAGCCTCAGCCTCAGCCTGCTTCAGCCACAGCCTCAGTCTGCCTTCAGCCTCGGCCTCAGCCTCAGCCTGCCTCAGCCTCAGCCTGCATCAGCCTCAGCCTCAGCCTCAGCCTGCCTCAGCATCAGCCTGCCTCAGCCTCAGCCTCAGCCTCAGCCCGCCTCAGCCTCAGCCTGCTTCAGCCTCAGCCTCAGTCTGCCTTCAGCCTCGGCCTCAGCCTCAGCCTGCCTCAGCCTCAGCCTGCTTCAGCCTCAGCCTCAGCCTGTC